GGCATGTAAGTAACTAGCCATTTGCAAGTTCAATGTCCACGACGCCAAATGTTATATCCAGTATAAGTCAATAAGTACGAAAGTAGTGAACTAAGTAATTATTCTATTTCCAGTGTGTAAATGCAAACGTAGCCTATTCGTAGGCCGGTGAGCAAGCAGCGCATCAACACGTAGGCAGGCAGGCACAAAACTCGACTGCAAGCCACAACAAACACCAATCCGACTGCCTTACACTTCCTATCCAGAAATTATTGAATGAACAAGGTTAGCAATGACATCAAGAGTTTGTCCGCTTATCAGACGGTCAGTGAATGTTAGATAGTGAGACTGAGTGTTTGAGTATGCATCTTACATAATCCCGGACACGACGGCTCGAGGCTCAGGTGATANAAGCCACAACACTCACCCGAATCGAGCGTCCCAAACCGGATCGAGTATATTACGCGGGTTTGGCGATCCGGTCGGATAGATTATGCTGGTTTCCAAGCTCCGTGATAAAGCCGAATTGATCAGTGGGATGACAGGCATGGGGGTGAGGGACAGTGGACATTCCATAAATATGATGTCAAAGCTGAGATGATCAATATTCGAACTAGCTTTATTCAGTTCCGCCACACAATTAATCTGACTTCGTCCAACTGGGACCATTCGACCGATTAGTCGTAAACACGTGGTCAATTCCAGGTTAGGGTGGCCGGTGAAGAGGTTGCGAAATAGACTCTCCGCTGCTTGTTCGAAATTTCTTGCCGGAATATCTTTACGGGACATCTGGCGAGTGACAGAATTAGTTAGCACAAACAACTAATTTACTTTCAAAGGAATGAGTAATTCTTCAGGCAAGCAGGTAATGGCCCCGGGTCTACCAGGGTTGCATTCTACCCGATCCACCGAAATAGTGATGTGATCCCCATGGAACATAGCGAATTTTCCGATCAAATGAACGTCCAGATTGTTTTGCAAATGTTGCACCATCAATTGTCGACATATATTTAACACCCTTTCAGGAATTGCTATATCGATTTTCCTTCAGCGGCAAAAAAAACCTCGGTGAAAATAAATAACTTACCTAGATGATAAGAAACTGAGGACTAGTGTAATCCCGACGGGTCTTTGATTCCATGGAGTTCTCTGCATTATGACTGTAATTATATTGATAAATCATATATGAGAAAAATCGAAAAAAGTCAAGTATTGCAACTGAATGTGGCGTGCACAGGGGTTATAAAGTGACCGATTACCAAGGCGGAGCAGGTATCGAGGTCCTAGATTCTA